CATTCCTAGTTATGTAATAATTATGATTTATTATGAGTAGAGAAAAAGGAAGAGGCCAAAAAATGGAGAGAGTGAAATGAACAGAGGAGTTCACTGGCTACTTCCCATACCAAACACAGATTTATGTCCATTCCGATTTTTCAGGTGATGAATGGCCAATTTCTTCACCACCTAGGGACCACTGACATTGCAGTCCTTCACAGCAGCAAGCAATGTGACATGTTTGGGAGAGAAAAGTGATGAGAAACAGAGAAACAGCTACCCCATAAGATGTATAGGGCAGTCAAAGATATGAATTCAGAGAAATACGTTCAGCACCTCTATCAGTGGGAGGCTTAGGATGACAGGTGAGACCAGGATAGACTCTGCTGCAGGGTTGGACCTGATGAAGGTACATCCGGGTGCAGGACGGAACATTTTGGAAGCAGGAAAGTATATTGTATATGGTGAGATGTGGCTGGATCTGGAGTATGAAGGGTATCAGACACAGCCATGCCATAAATTAAATAATTCAGCTGAGAGAGCAGAGGAATGAAAGCACACTTGCACGGACAAAGATCAAATAAAGCAACCTCAGAACAAGGACACCAGGAGGTTTGGGAGCATGCATATATGCCCTGTGAAAAGAGGCCAGTGAGGTTCTAGGACTCCACTGCGGTGTCGCAGGACTCCTGTCACTCCTCAAGCTCAGGAGTGCATATGGCGATGTCCAGCTAAAGACAACCTTGATGCAGATTCTGAAGTGAAGATGGATATTCAGGCTTGAGCACGGTGTTGTGAGGTAGGAGGTGAGGTTGTTTGAAGGAGGGTGCTGGAACAGAGGCATCAGGCTGCACTGCGCTGTGGCTGGGAAAGCGTTGGATAAGTGTGTGATGGGCAAGCAAGTGTTGAAGGCCCCATGATTCCTTCGATAGCTCAGCTGGTAGAGTGGAGGACTGTAGGCTCCCTTGCACGGCCATCCTTAGGTCGCTGGTTCAACTCTGGCTCGAAGGAGTGCCCTTTTGGCGCTTGGCCAGACCCTGCGGCACCTCTGCCTTTTGGCGCGGCACGGGCTGCTCCCCTTCAAGGGCTGCCCAGCCTTGAGCTCTTGCCAGAGGCGGGGAAGATGACCAGCCGAGGTCGTCTGGGATGAAGCCTGGGTAGCTCAAGTGGTAGAGCGCTCGCTTAGCATGTGAGAGGCAGCGGGATCGATGCCCGCATTCTCCAATGCTTTTCATTGCCCTTGCTGGGGAAACGCGGCCCTTTGCCGGGGGCCCCTGTCCTCTGGGGGCGGTGGGGAGATCACGGTGTGCCCAGGCTTTCAAGAGGAGGACAACATCCAGGGCTGCACCAAGGGCACTAGGAGCAGTTTAAGAGGGGAACTGCTTTCCTCGCCCTTTGCTTGACAGTTGTCAAATGTCGTCTCCAGTACCGTGTTCAACTCTGAGCTGCACCGTAGAGGAAAGACATGAA